ATTCTTTCAAGTAAATTAATAGAATCAGTCTGCAATGTTTCATTCTATTATTTTTGAAACTCTAGCTATAAGAAATTATGTTGTCAAATATGATGAATTGTATTTGTAGCATGAAATGGCCACTACATTAGGCATTCATGGCATGCATCATTACATACTTTGGCTGATTCCTTATAAATGTATAATAACATACTCAATATATTAAATATTAATAGTACTCTACATAATTAACCCGTATTTCCTAAATGAACTTGTTCCCGGGGGCATGTGATACTGCACCAGTGTCACGTGTGACAGTCTAAGAGGAAATCATCCAGACGGATAGGCTGTAACACAGATACAGTTTTCAGTCTAACCTTCCTTTTGGGTGTGGTGCCCTGTGTATCCATAGGTGTCTGGAAGTGTTCATGGTGGTGTTAAGTGGAGAAAGGCAAAAAGCCTAGAGGTAGATACCTCTGGTGTGGGAGAGGTCTGAACACGTCACAGCTGGCCCTTTGTGAACCAAGTCAAACAACGTCAGTGCATTTGAAAGTGACCACCTTATTTTACTGCATTTGTCTTTAGGCGCTAAGGAAGGCTAGAGAACATGGAGGATGTGCTCGGATGGAGCTAGGGATGTAAAACCAAGTTCTCCACACCAAGTGAGGGGTGAACAGACAGCAGCGTCACGGAGGGGGGCACAGTGTTTCCAGGGAATCACCACGTCCGGATCCAAAGTGGGATTTGCCAGCAGGAGCAGCAGAGCCCGGTGGCCTGCCCTGCGCATCCAGTGCAAGCTCGGCTGAGGCCAGGGTAATGCCAAAGGAGGCAGCTCCCTGTCTTGCTCACTGAGAGACTCCAGCGCGTTGTCCTCCTCCTTCTGCCCCAGAACACCATGGATGAGAATGGAAAAAAATTAACATCGCACCATCCTGCCTAAAGGAACATCTGGGGATGGGTTTGAAACACAATTTGGTTACGTTGCATTTATACTGCCCGTAAAAACTCTAGACATTGAAAGGGCTCGTCTGCTTCATGGCGTATTTTTTCAGCTAGTGACAGTTCCCATCAACATCATTCCCAATGGAAGGAAGCTGTTTAGAGAAAATTCATAAACTATTTACACCAACTCTCTTTAGAATTGCTGGAATTGGATCCTTTGAATGCTGCTATGAGAATCAATGTAGGTCACAATTCACATCAGAGACATGTGTAAGGGTTTTTCCAGTGTTTCAAATATTTATTCAAAGGTACAATCTAGCAGTGAAGTAGGCCATACTGAATGCTAGCATAGTTTTCCACTACCTATAACATTGTCTTTTTTTGCAGTGGCATTGAAGCTGTCAAAAATGTGTGAGTCCTGTGAGATGGAAGTACATTATACAGATCCATTTCCCTGTGAATACTGTAAAATGGAAGCCCGCCACCTCTCCTCAGTACTGAATTGATTTTATTGATCCTTTCCATATTGTAACTGTTTCCAAACACGTTTAAGTAGATTTCCTCATGCAACAATGGCCAACAATTTTAAGCAGGAGCAGACACTTGTGGTGGGGGAAGCCCCTTGGGCAAGAGCCCGGGCTCGTATAAAGGGCACGTTCTTGAGTGCGTTCGCTCTATAGTGAAACAGGATAACATCTCGGACACTGGCGGGGGTAGAAAAAAATAGTATCACAGCTCAGATTCATTTCAGAAGCAGAAAAGAAGCTAGAGAAGGAAATCTGACAGCAAATATAGAGCTGTCACTACTGTGGGTTAAGAATAAACACATTTCACAGGTCATAAAATACAATTTTTTTTACAATTGAATTTCCATATCAATGTGCCTAGACAGTGCTTTGTCACATGGCATTTCAGGATTATAATACCCATCTAGATTTTCTGCTGGTAGTCACTGGTTCAAATCAGTCTGGGTAGTCTGGTTTGAGCCACCTTTGTATTTGGAGACCTATTTCAGGACTAAGTGGCATAAAACAGCTTGAATCATTCTACTATTTACTTTCAGTATAACAGAACGTGCTTTGAGATTGATGGAGCAGCTGCGGAGCCCTCAGCTATTTCTGGTCTGCTCCAGCCTACCTCGCCAAGGCTCCCTGAAAGGCAGGGAGTGCTTTCCAAGAGGGGAGAAAGTTTCCTAACCAGCAGCTGTGAAGGGAGGCCGATCGTGCCCACCTGTCTGCAGCCATCCCAGGGCACATTCCACTGTCAGGCCGAGCTACCCGAGGGAAAGCCTGGCACGGACTTTATCCCATGCGAGGGAAGGTAAGCTGGGTCCTGCAGAAGGGCCACAGGAAGGAGGCCACTGCTCTCTTGCAGAGAGCAGTCCTAAATTCCTAACTGTTCTGGATCTATGGAGACAGCCTGTGCTAATGTTACTCAAGTGCCCGCGTGCCTGCAGAAAAAGCTTTTTTGTAGGGCTGATGGAGGAGAGGGCTGCTATACAGGACTCGTGGTCAGAGCTGTTGTACAGATATGTCACTGCTGAAGCTGCTAGATCAAAGCCAAAGTAGGTTGTGACAACCAACATCCTGCTATTCACCTGTCACAGACAGGCACCCACACCTGGAAGAACAACAGCGGCAGTAAAGCTTCCTCAGAAATAAAACTGCTCCAGGAAAAGAGCCCTCAGTATCCTTCTTGCCTCAATTGACTTCATCATATGAGCTGTATTTACATCTCTATGGCATGTTGTAACGAAAAGCATAGCACATCATTGCAAGCTGTGCTTGTGTTGTTGATAGATTTAATAAAAGCAAGAGATAAAGAAGGGGAAAGAAGGGGAAAGAAGGGGAAAGAAGGGGAAAGAAGGGGAAAGAAGGGGAAGCTTTTCCATTCAATCGCAAGCCCCAGAATTCTGCCTCAGGCTGGTCAGAAATGTCCAGTATAGCAAAGAGATGCAAAACAATACACTCTGGTGGAGCAAAAAATCATGAGACAGCAGACAGAAATTCAGCACACTTCATTCAAGATAACAGTGTCATTCACAGCCGAAGAGCACAAGGCAACAGAGCAACCCCTTCAGAATAGTCGTGGGGTTCGTCTCGTCTCCTGTGATTTGGGGGATTGGTGTGGGCCATTTAGCATGCCTTACCACACCTGCAACGAGATTCAGGTAGACACGCCTCAAGCAGTTGAAAGGTTTTTAGTGTGATAAACTGCTGTATGAGGAGCTGTTGTCTTCCATATCACAGAGCCAAAAGGGCTGTAAATTCCTCAGCTTTTCAAAGGGCAGGTCTTTACTGAATGGCAAGGGCAAAGGTATGTTTGCTGCTCAGCTGTGGTTACACTGATACTGTGGTACAGCCTTCCTTGACAACCAGGCGTGCATCAGGACTGTGCACAGTCCTCAAAGCGACCATGTGAGCAGCCTGGGAGATGTGACACACTCCCTTAGACGCTCCACCGTCCCAAGCTGAGCAAGCTCTGCTTCCTGACTGCGGTCAGTGCTTGCCAAAGGAATTACAGTAGTGAAAATGTCCCACATGAGTGCCATTTACTGAGCTGGAATAAGATCAGAGAAAGGAAACATCTCACATCATGTTAAATTATGTATTGAGAGCTTCGTAACTGTATGGGCGATGACAGTTGTGTGTCCCCTGTGCCTCTCCCCATTGTGTGTTCCTCAGCTCCTCGCACAAAAGCAATACGGGGAGCACTGAAGCCTCTTGAAAGTCTCTATCTCAATAACAATCTATTTGGTTAATGAGTTATCTGATATATATAATTGTATGGTATCTAGTAACAGAAAAGCCTGATAGCTATTCCTGTGTCCCATTTCCTGAGAAAGATGGGGTATATTGTTTCAGTGAGTAACCTGTAAAAAGAATCTGGGATAACATTACTACTGTATCTGTAAGCTTAGGAAATACAGCCTCCAAAGTGATACATTATACTGGTAAAAACATACTGAAGGGTATTTTATAACACATGCAGTGCTGTGCTTCATGGGCTAACTGGTATCTAAAGTGCAAAGAGTATCTTACCCCTTTCCACATTTTTGTTTTGACATGGCCAGATAAGCCAGATGAAGGAGAGAAAAAGGAGATTAGAGCAGGTGGGAATCTACCTGTTGGCCCTTCTCCCCGAGTCTTGTGACAGGGGGGACTTTGGGGGTGATTGTAGGAGCAGTGGAGGAAGAGACGAGCCAGGTGGTGGTGGGAATGCCTTTCCGTGCCTCCACCAGGAGCAGGCTTCTGCCTCAGCTCAGAGCGAGCCAGGGACATGGAGTGCAGCATGCTGCCTGCCTGCGGCTCGGGACATCCACCCGGGTGTCCCGCGGCACCAGCGCATGGTTCTGCAGCACCCCTCGCTGCAGCTGGCCCTCTCATCGGCCCTGAGCCCTGCAGCCTGCCTGCCTCGAGCAGCTACTCACCTGGCCTGCAGTACTTAAGGGTGCCGGGATCTGTTTTGCTGCCTCCACTACGTACAGGCACCCTGCTCCTTCTCATCTTCAGTGGCAGTATCAGGTTCTGGAATACATCAAAATAGATAACAAGCGTTTTCCTCCTGTTTGAGTTACCCTGAAAGCATGCTGTTAGCCAAGTGCAAAGAGTCACGCAGCTCATCCTCACAGTTACATACATTGCATCAGTACATGTTATGCTTTACGGATGTGCTTACATGCCCTTTCACCTAAACAAGAGCTTGGAATTGAGGAAGAACACGGTGCCTTTGGACAGATGCGTTATGTATGCCCCCCATTTTGAGGTGCAGCTTTCAAACCCCTCTCTTTGGAAAGGGCCTGCCTGTCTGCTCCCCTCCTTCAGCAGACGCAGGTGTGCAGGAGCCTCAAAGGGCTTTCAAAGGCGCTTGTTGCGTGCGCACCATCTCGAGGTGATGGGCTGGCAGGAGGCGCGGGGGCTGCGGGTGCATATACGCGGCACACGTGCCGCTGCCGGCACCCAGGAGGTGCCGCTGGAGAGGGCGGGCAGAGCGCTCCGGGGGTAGCCGCCCGCCCGCCGCCTCTGCCGCCACACATGAACTCCTCGCGCCGCTGCCTCGGGCGCCGGCGGCCGCAGCGCCGGCGGCTCCGTTGCGCCATGTCCGCGGGGACCGACATGGCCCATTTCAGCTACATCGTCAGCCTGCTAGAGCGAGCTAAGGTGTGCGGGGCGGGCGCCGCGGCCGCGGCCGTTGCGCGGCAAACGGCCGCCGGTGCGGGGCGGGAGCGCGCGGCCGTTGGGTCAGGGCGCGCGGCCGTTGGGCGATGAGCGCGCGGCCATTGGGCGGGAGCGCGCGGCCGTTGGGTCAGGGCGCGCGGCCGTTGGGCGATGAGCGCGCGGCCATTGGGCGGGAGCGCGCGGCCGTTAGGCGCCAACGGCCGCCGCCGCCCGGCCGCCAGCAGCCCCCGGAGCCCGGGGCCGGGCAGGGGGCAGCGGGGATGGCGCCGGCCGCTTTCGGCTCTGAAAAATCCCCCGTCCCTCGGCAGCGGGTCCCGCCGTTCGTGTGTCCTGGAGGCTGGTGTGGCGCCGTGTGAGGCGCGCTCCCGGCGCTGAGGGATGAGCCAGTAAAACGAGCGCTCCCCGAAGGAGAGAAAAACCCCAAACCAAGTGCAGCGTGTTGCTCATTCGGAATCAATGACCTGTCTGACATTTCTCTCTCTCTCTTTTTTTTTTTTTTTTTTTTTTTTTTTTTTTTTTTTTTTTTTTTTTGTAGATGGCAGGTTGTCTTTCTGCTGGCTGGCAGGTGCTGTGTGCTAGTGTAGTGTGTCCATGTCAGCGTGTCACTCAGTGCTTTTCCTGACATCTGGAGCTGGTGTGGCTGAGGACTGGGCAAGTATTTTGGGGGAAAGAGTAGTGTGTGTGTTGGTTGAAACAGGGGAGAAATCTGACTTCTCAGCTCCTGGGGTCTGCTGATACTTGTCAGAAATGTGGAGCTTTCTTCCCCCTACCAAAGACTTTGCTATGATGAATTTAAAGGGAAAAAAAAAAAAAAAAAAAAAAAAAAAAAAGGCATGGAGCTTTTGAATTTAAAAATAAGTGCAGTATATAAAGGGCTTATTGGAAAGATGCTGTTTCTGTCCCAAAGGCAGAGTCGTTCTAGGTCATTTTCAGAGACGGTGTTCAAACGGCAGTGCAGTTCACCCCCATCACTCCGACTCCCTCTCCCGCATGGTCTGAAGGATCCTGTGGAGCAGGCTCAGACACAGCTTTGCTGGGTCTCCTAGCTGGGGAAGAGCTGTGCCTGCAGCTCCAAAGGACAGTTTGGGGTGCAGAGTCTTGTTTTTGACACAGCCACTTTGCACAGATGTATAGTCATAAAAGCTTCAGTCAAAGATCCCCTTCTGCCTGCGATTTCCTCTTGAAGGGGAATGATACTTCTGTGCTGTCTCTCACATTTAAACTGTCTAGGCTGGTACTTGAGTTAGACTTCCCTTCGCAGGAGCATACGCTTCAGTAGACAACTGAGTTAGCACTTTCCAGTGAAATATGCATATTTATGACAAACAGTGCTGTTCCTTATACACACAGCATCACAGTTGCCAAGTCTCATCTCAAGAGACTTGGTGAACCTGAAGAAAAGAGGAGCCGTAGGTGTGCTGTGCTTTTAGCATACAATTCTGTAGAGGTTGCCACTCTATTTGAGACTCTTCAAGGGCCAGCTCTTGAGACCTCTCACTCTCCCCTTTTCCTTTTGTATTTCTTTCTCTGCACAGTGGGGTTTTAGGTTGCAGCTCACTTGCAATTTATTGATGTTTTCCAGAAGCATTAAGTTTAGATCACCTCCTTCAGCTTTGCTTTCCCAGAGGCAGCAGTGGAGCTCTAGTCTGCGCAGCCAAGGTTACCTGACCGTACCAGCAATGCCCACTACAGGCGGAGCAGCTTGGACCAGTAGAGTAATTCTGCTTGGAAAATCACACTTTTTTCTCCAGGGACATAAGCCATGCCAGCAAAAGGACTGTTCTGCTTGTAAACTTAGTGGCAGGGTTTTATTGCTTAGAGGTCTCATTAGCCTCATTTCTCCTGTCCCATACACTCATCAATAGTATAAAGATCAATAAAGCTGTTTGAACAAAGCCTGAGAGCATTAACGTCCTCTGAATCCATACACTGGTAAATGCCTAGCTGTCACAGAACAATGAACTATTGGAGAGGCAGAATGTACTAACAGTACCTTACACACTCACCTCTCTGCTGTGCAGGATCCTAGCAGGTATGATAGAGCCGATTTATCAGCTTTTAGACTCTTTTATGGAGAGCGGTCATGCTGTTTTCCCACATAGCTTGCCTTCTGTGTCAAGCCTCCAAACCAGAGCAAATCATTATGCATCACTTTCCCCAGGGCATGTAGCTTCACAGACTTGCTCTCTTTATTAGTGATTTAATTAATATGCCTGTGTGATATTATTCTCCTGTAATTCTGTTTTACACTCATTTCTGATGCATGGTACCTGGAATACTCAAGTGCCTCTACATAAAGTGCCTCTCTATGCAGCACAGGGGATGAACAAGGGGAACTGGAGATGCGTGTGCAGTTGCAGGGCTGTGATGTCATTGCAATTCCTGAGACATGGTGCGACAGCTCTCCTGACTAAAATGTGGCAATGGAGGCTTTAGGCTTTTCAGGAGGGACAGGGCAGGAAGGCGAGGTAGTGGAGTTGCATTTTACATGAGAGAGCAACTGGAATGTATAGAGTTCAGCATAGGGGAGGATGGAGTGCAGGTCAAGAGCCTGTGGGTGAGGATTAAAGGGCAGGCTAACAGGGGCGACATCGTGGTGGGAGTTTACTACAGGCCTCCTGAGCAGGATGAGGAAGTGGAAGAGGCTTCTACAGGCAGCAGCTTTCAACACCATCTCCTATAACATTATTATGAGGGAGCTCTGGAAGTGTGGACTGGATGAATGTACAGTGAGGTAGACTGAGAACAGGCTGGATGGCAGAGCTCAGAGGGTGGTGATAAATGGGGCCGAGTCCAGTTGGAGGCCTGTGGCCAGTGGTGTCCCACAGGGATCAGTCCTGGGCCCAGTGCTGTTCAACTTGTTCATCAATGACCTGGACAAGGGCACGGAGGGCACCCTGGGCAAGTCTGAGGACGATACCAAGCTGGGTGGAGTGGCCGACACTCCGGAGGGCTGTGCTGCCATCCAGAGGGACCTGGACAGGCTGGAGAGTTGGGCAAAGAGGAACCTCGTGAGGTTCAATAAGGACAAGTGCAGGCTCCTGCACCTGGGGAGGAATAACCCCAGGCATCAGGACAGAATAGGTACAGACCTGCTGGAAAGCAGCTCCACGGAGAGGCACCTGGGAGTCCTGGTTGACACCAAGTTACCCATGGGGCAGCAGTTCCCTCGTGGCCAAGAAGGCCAATGGGATCCTGGCTACATCAGGAGGATATTGGCAGCAGGTGGAGGGAGGGGATCCTGCCCCTCTGCTCAGTCCAGGTAATAGGGATAGGTGACAGGATCATGGGTGCGTGGTCCCATAGGATAGAAACAGGACAAGGGGCAGTGGGTATAAGTTGAAACACAAGCAGTTCCATCTCCCTGTGAGGATGAACTTCTTTCCTGTGAGGGTCACAGAGCCCTGGCTGCCCAGGGAGGCTGGGGAGTCTCCTTCTCTGGAGATCTTCCCAACCCGCCTGGATGCTGCCCTGGACCCCGTGCTCAGGGTGTCCCTGCTGGAGCAGAAGGTTGGACTAGATGATCTCTAGAGGTCCCTTCCAAACTTCAACCAGTCTCTGAGCCTGTGATTCTGTGTAACAGAATGTATATAACAGCCCGAGTATGATAGTCCTTGGGTAATCCATATGTTCACAGCATCTGTTCCCGCTCAATACAATAGTCTTTGAGATATCCTAGGCTTCCAAGGCACCTGTCACAATCATCACAGTAGCGTCTCAACAGTCCAAAATATCCTTGTAAGACAGATTAACGGCTAGCTACATTGTATAGTAGAAGCACTGAGACTTAAAGAGATCGTGTGACTTGCTTTCAGGACTTTGAAGTCTCAGTTCAGATCTTATCAAGAAAAGGCATTCAGCTGCCTCAAAATCAAATAATATTCTACAAGTGGTTTGGGGTTCCCCTGCCCTCTGCTGTTCTTCACTCTCCATTTCCTTTTACAATAGTCAGCATACAAATACACTCACAATTGTTCTTCACTAAAAATTACATTTTAATTTTATGATTATATATTTTATACTGAATTTATATAGAGATTTTTAATAGAAAATATATATAGAAAATTTGGTTATGCTTTGACTTCCTTTATAATAACAACTTTAATGTAATTTTAGTATTTATTAATGAATATAAATACTTATTTTTGATAGTGTAATTAATACCAATATGTGTCCATGTAGTAGAAACATTTTGGGGTATTTTTTGCAAAAGAAAAAAAAATCCATAAACAAATATAAAACAACATGAATTTCAGAGACAGGCTAGCATCACTGATACTGTGTACACTAGCTGTTGAATTTGTTGAAATGAGAGTCTAGGCATATTCCTTTCTTGATAAAATCCCTAGTTTCTTCAGTTTTTTCCTCACTCTTTTTATCATCTATTCCTTCTTAGCATGTTTTACAGAAGATGAGAGCTTGTGCTTCACGAAGAACAGCTTTGGAAGCAGTGCTCCAGGAAACACATTTTGAGACCTGGATACTTTAAAAGAACAAGTCCCAAACCCCATATAAGAGCATGCCAGCTTTTCAAAATAATTGTTAAGAAAACAGGAAATTCTGCAAACTGTCCACCCAGACTCTGCAGATAATTAAGCACCAATTTTCTATCCATGTCTTCTGTCTGTAGTAACTGATATAAAATTCTCTTAAAATGGCTTTTTTCTTCAGAGAAGGATAAGGGATAAAGCTATATAGTGCTGTAAAAAGCAAGTCACATGTAGAACTGAAAAGAGGAAATAACAGTGAAAGTTTACAAGTGGCTGCAGAGGTTGGTGAGTTTTTCTGAGCTGCCTGACTCACTCAATGACAAGTTCTATTTCTGGAATCTTCAGCTTCCAAAGCATAAAGCTGTTTCTTGCATTTGTGTGGGAAATCATTTTTTTGGGGTATATCGTTCCTTTGAGGAGACTAATCCTTTATCAGCAGTCTGTTTACAAAATATCCAAGAGTGTGTAAGACTCTGTCTGTATTGTGTGGAA